CTAAATGTTCGCTTATTTGCGTTTCGATAGAAAGCCTCTCGGACACAGTTGAACGAGGAAGAATACTTACTATATTTGAAAATGGGAAAGATTTAGACGACATCCATTCGCCGCACCAAGATACGAACTCGTCAAAGAGACAATCCACTGTCAGATGCTGGGAATCATGACAACTATTCGGCATGCCGGCGAAACGTTTGAGAATGTACCAAGTCCACTGTCTGATGCTGGGAATTATGACAACTACTATGGTAGTCGACGAAACGTTTGAGAATGTACCAAGTCCACTGTCTGATGCTGGGAATCATGACAACTACTATGGCAGACGAATGACGAGTTCGTAGCTTGGTGCGGCGAATGGCAAAACTCACTGATGATGCCGACTACGATGCCGGCGAACACATCTGATTAAAGTCCACTGTCAGATGCTGGGAATCATGACAACTACTATGGCAGACGACTTCGGACTAGGTGCGTCCTACATAGTCTCCCTGAAAACAAGACCAAGTTGCGACAACGAGGTCAACCCGATTCTATAAAAAAATAAAACCGTCCGAAGAGAAGAATTGATCTGATCTCATTTTTGAGACTTGGTCGTGTCCTAGAGCCAACTTTGAATAGCCTGCCTTATTGTCGCCCTGGCAATATGAGCAAGTTGCAAAAAAATGCAGACAAATCATTTCTATAGACTGGAAGAAGATCCTCATGACAGAAGCTCATTTGTGTGTTCTATTATGAAACAAGAGGTGTCACGAGACTCTTTTGATTGGGATCTCTGTTAATTAATCCCGCTTTGGTCAAAGAGCCAGGCATAAATTTTGATGTCATGCTGATCACAAGAACATACCTCATATTGTATCAACACCTCAAATTTTCCGTGATAAGCCTCTCTTTTTTTCGTTTTTATAGGTAGGCTTTCGAGACTACTATTAGATCATGCATATGAGGTGTATTCATCCATTTCGTTTAAAGTGATAAGAGGACTTGTAGTTGAATTGTCCCACAATTATATGCATACATTTTACATAGCCTTGCTTTCGCAAAAGGTATTTTCATCCAGCCTGAAGTGGACTGCAGTTTCGACCCAGCGGGACTTGAACCATGACACTGTAGCGTATAATCTCGACGGCTACAGGGCAGATGTGAATTACAAAGAAGACCAGAAATTCTCACATATCACATCTGGGATGAGATTGTCGATTACTATAGCACTCGACTGCGTTACTTATCGTTGTTATAACTAACCTTTTGTGACTATCAGCGGATCATATATATGAGGTGTTTTCATACTTTCAAGTTGAAAATAATAAGGGGACTGGTAGGTTAATGTTTCCACAATCGCCTGTCTAACCAATCAAAGGAACGTAGCTAGGGGTGGCGCTTCTCACCGACGATGCCAATTAAGTTCTTTGAGGTCTCTCTGACTCCACGATCATACGATAAAAACGGACCAAATCAAGGCTATGCAACGAAGGGAGACTGTGACCCAAATAAAAGCTACACCATCATGGTCGTCATACCAACTATTAATCATAACCGGAAAGTTCACGTTTCTGGAGGTTAGCTATGCTACTTGGCACAGATGTAGAAAAAAGTCGACAACTACGTATTCATTTGCACTTTTCAGGTGCGAATGGCTGATAATTGCGTTGGAATCAGCCGTCTTTTGCCCCCATCCCTGGCTGGCATGACGACCATCCGACCACGAGACACTCAAGCGATCTACAGCGGCCGCCTTTCGAGGTCTGGATTGCCCGCCAATGCCAAAAAAAGAGGCTGGCCCAAATGATGTTCGGCAGCCGCGGACCCCGTTGAACGGGGCCTAATTTGCCGCATGCCACAGAGGCACCAGGCACCGGGTACTGCGGTCTGAAAGGGCGAAAAAGACGTCTTCGAACATGAAAGAACAGAGTTGCACCGCCTGATGCCCAGTTGTCGGGTCGCGTGTTCCCGGTGTTTATGGCTTGCACCGCTTCGGGACCGTGCAAACGGCCGAAATAGCATGGCCTAATCAAAAAGTCGCCAGCAAAACATGCGTTTATGCAGCAGATACAGTCGGCGCGGAGGTCACTTTGTGCCTGTCCAGAGGCAGACGTGCTGGCCGTTCAGCCCCACCAGTGAGGCAAAGTGTTCGAGGCAAGCCGGCATCGGGAATGGGGACAAACATCAAGTGCTGAATCGTCTTAACAAATTGGTCCGATAGAATTGCTTAAATAAGGGAAAAGCAAAAGTACGTCGAGATTACTGGGAAGGCTGATCTGGAGTGATGACATGCCGAAAGTCACTTGTTGCCTAGACAACTGGTGCATGGGTCTTTGCCTGACTTGCTCGTTTGAGGCTCAGTGATAGGAGCCTGAAAAACCAGAAAGTACTTTTGAAACTCTCCGTCAATATTCTTCTGATCGCCTCGATCACCTACTTTGTATGAAGGTAAGTAGTGTGGTGGATTGTAATGGCAAAAGGCAAGCCTTCCTGATCGACAATCCCAATAGAAAATGTGATATGGCAGAAGACTGGTCGTCATTGTCATTTACGTTTGTTCTGTGACTCAGGGGCACTGTTGCAAGTGGGA